TCTTCTATAAGTATAGGTATATCGCCCTGCATAAGTCGTTTAAACCGAAAAGCACTGTACTACTGATGAGCCTGGAAAGGCAAAACAGCTGTCTAGTATAGTATGAGTGCCATACCAGACCTCACAAAAAGCTCAAACATGCTATGACAATCACATTTAACGAAAGGTATGACATGTCTAACGATACCAGCCAAGAGCAATCGAGTGTAAAACACTGCCATTTTGTAACATCTTCACCTAATGGCATGTGTAGAACGCTCGTCGTCACTACGCCGTTCGGTTCCTCCGATAGGATTGGTTAAAGACGAAAGGTACTGCCCGACCGACGAGGCTATCAAGACCGAAACACGTATATCGCGCTTTATAAGTTGCCCTATAACAGACCACGTGCACGGCTCAAAAATGATTATCATGATATAAGATTACTAAAATTTTTGAGCGATGTTTCTATAAATAGTCGAAAGTAAAGGTATGATCCATCCTGTCAGTCTTAAGCGCTTGACTGTGGTAATCGCAAGGCCGGAGGATTTTGTCACTCAACATGCGGTGATTCGAATAATTCAGCGTCGGTTAATCCATAATTAGAGGTCCATCGCACAGCAACGGATCGGCTAAACCGAGAGACACAATACTTTTAATGAGCCTGGAAAATCGAAACAGCTGTCTGGTAATGTATAAATGCCATACCAGACCTTACAAAGGGCTCAAAACATGTTATGGTACTGCACCTTAGCATTTATCTCACTGTATCACAGTTTTGTGTCACTAAGCGATGTCAATACTTCTTGCATTAGATTCGTCTCCTTACATTCATCGATTGCTTGAGAATTCCATCTTCTTTACAACCTTCGTAAAATATCGGTTGAGCAGGTATTGCATTGTCATAGGCAGTCCTGTTGGGACTTTTGCTTGGAGAATTCGACAAATAGTGGGTGTCTAGGATCAACCCTGCTCCGAGCATCATTAGCCACTCAGCCACAGGCCCCAGATAATCTAAACTGCCGTGTAACACGGCAACGTTGTAAACTGATCTCATTCTTCTCTTTTTAGTACTAACGCGGTGCGAGGTCTTTCAAATAAGTTCTGACGAACGTCTCTAAAAGACGTCAAATACGGCGATCTGTATACTTTCCCTTTTCGCTTTTCGCCAGTACTACAATGGAAAAATGTGACAACTAAGTAGAAGCAGGAGAATTGATTTAATGAAACCGCGCATGGCTTTATATAGGAGTTTTGGGTAATTTTGTTCCAAACTTTTCTAAGATTATTCAATGTTTTGAAAGTATATCTCTAGTGGCAAGACGCGGTCTCATAAAACCATTTTTCCTGCTTATACTTAACTGTCCCATTTTTGCCAATTACTAATAGCAAACAGAAGAGGGAGAGTCTACAGATTACCGTATTCTACAACCTTTCCTAGACGCTTGTTGAAGCTCATTTGAAGGGTCTCGCGTCGCACTGGCACTGTAAAGAAGGGATCACTCTACAATTAACTAATTTGAAAACAAGCGAAAACTCTTTCTGCGAAAACTGTTCAAAGTGCAACTGAGGAAGAGAAATTATAAGCAATTTTATTTTTCATCCCGCTAGTAGTTGGAACAGCAGCAACATGAAGATATGGGCATTAGAAATGAACATATAACACTCATTTCTCACTGTAGCTCTTTTTTCTGTGTTTCTTCTTTTAACACTTATCCACAACAGTTACTGTTCTATATATACCCAGTGATGTAGAGTGATGCGCTAAACCTTCGCATCAGGCCGGACTCGAATCCGCATCTCACTCTGCCCGGGAGCGCGGGCTCTAACCTGTTGCACTACTGATGCTCGTTTTGCTATCCCTCTTTCTACACTACAACACATCTATTTATCCGTCAGCAAGCAACAGTCAACGGTTTGAACCAGGTAGTCGGTATTGACATTAAACCCAGTTACGCTGACAGATACTGGGTATTAGATGATTAAAGATAATTTTTCTCATATGAGCGCTTTAAGCGATGATACGTTATGGATGGACCTAGTTATTGTTCTTGCATTCCCAAAATACATCCCGAGCCACGGAGACGAACCCAATAGTTGAGAGTTATGGACCACTCACCCCCGTGGGATGGGTAGCGGGTTTGTAAGACGATCTTGATTCCTGCTATGTACATATATGATTTAGTGAGATCTGGGTTCCAATCCCGGCTCACGCAAATGTTTTTGCACAGCACTCCACATTATTGGGTATATTATAAAGCCATACTACCGCAAGAAGCGGTCAATTAAATGAATTTCGACTGGCTATTGAGCGTCGGTGGTGCAACAGTTCACCACGCTCCCGGAAGGAGTGAGATCTGGGTTCAAATCCCGGCTCACACAAATGTTTTTGCACATCATTCACATTGTTGGGAATATTTTAAGATCATACTACTGCAAGTATCCTCTAATCCCACACTTTTCCCAGCTGTTACAGTACACATGGACTACTCTGGTTGGTAAGGATGTCAACGAACCATGACTTAACGGCTTGGAAGTACAGTACTTTCAAAAGCAGTTGGTTGCAAAAGTACTTGGATTCCAGACCGTTTATAGAAAATACTACCATAATCGATATTGCGAGCCGACGATCACAAAACCAGGAATGGATAAATTAACGAAATAATCACACGGAACAGATTTTGATTTTTGTTCTAATAAACCGAAAGGGGAAGGATATCGTCGTTGAGGAATGCTTCAGAATAGAAGGTGTCTTAGATAGTTCAATTACGAATGTGCGGACATTTTTCAGAACATTCATGCTGGTGGTTGCTGGACTATACTTATCGCTGACGATCAAGTATCTTCGTTTGAGTTAAACAATTTCAAACATCTTAGAGTTCCGGTCCTTTCAGTGAGAAAAAAAGGGCCCTTACATTCGGCGTTAATAGTAAAGACGTGAAGAATAATTACACAGATCCTGACTTTCCAGTGTGATCTTCGGGATTGGTGAAATCTTCCTTCTATGCTCACGATCTGATTCGTCGGACAATCAGACGATCCGCTTTCACTATTCTACCTCCACTTTGACCTGTGCTTGCTGTGAAGAGTGGTGCTTCATAAGAGATTTCACAAAAACTAAATAGTTCAAGCTCTAATAGGTGAATTAAATAGTAACATGGATTCGAAGAGAAATGTATAGTAATTTTTACAGGGCTTGCGCTTATTTCGCTTCGGTTGTTTATAATTCTTCAACACAGGTAGACCACTGCTACTTGGTTCATAACTACCATGAGGAAGAAGTAGCATAACTAACGAAATTGAAAGACGAAGTTTCAAAAGTAATTACTCACAAGCGCTTTACTTTCACATATCACCTAGACCACCAGTGATTGCGTTAACGATCAAATTGAAAAATAAAAAAGAGAGTACAAGATGTATAACATCTTAAGTCGCGCACAGGGCCGCTCGATGGAGTCCCGAAGGCACCGAGAAGATCTCATACCTCGCCCACCCTCATTCGCTTCTATAAGTTTAAGCAAAGTGCTCACCACATCCTGCTCTATTGAGATCGCCGTGACCACTCTTAGTTGAGAGAGCTTTGCCCGTCGCGCACGCGGCAGCTTGGCGGAGTGTAACCCGCAGGAACGGTGCCTCGCGCCGGAGTCGAAGGTTATGTACCTAAAAAATCATGCGACGTTAAATACGAAAAAAACCAATTCAGGCATGTGTTCGTTCGAGTTCCATCAGAAGCCAATTAATTTTATTCTACTTTGGCAAAAGTTTATCATATAGCTGTTATTAGTAATCTTGTATACTTGGACAGACCGTCTTCATTGACAGTGCGAGCCCCAGACAAAAGAACTGTCTGATTTTGCTGTTTTGTCCCCTGAAATCCCAAGGTGCCTAGCCGAAGTTTCCTCAAGTCGCCACCATATTAGAGCAGTTGCCGGCCATATGGATCAGCGGGAGATTACCACCTTCCGATCAGTAGCTACCAAGACGGCAGTCATTCGTGCTACGGTTCAATTTTAGCTGAAATTCACATGTGGAAACATTGGACTTCTTGTCAGCTTCGGTGGCGTCCTGGGAGGTGAACTACTTGCTGTACTTCGCAGTCCGACACCCAGGAACACCTGCTAGCCACGATGAGGCGGTAAACCACTTGGGAGCTGCTATCAGCATATAGTGATGAAATATTTTCATTGCATGTATTCTTCTAGTAGCGCGAAGAAAACTGTGAAGGTGAAATGCAATTTTCTTTTCGATCTCACAGCACCTCATAAAGACCTTTTCGAAACTCAATCCTAGTTCTAAAATTGTCAAAATTTATGCTATCAGATGATTACCTAACATCTAGTGAAAAAAATCCACAGACTATAGGCGAGCGAACCTAAGACGAACCGAGTGTAACATGACTTTACATTTAATGTTACAGCGGAATAAAAAGGCTTCTCTGAAAAAAGGAGTAGGGCGTCAAAATGGTCGAGATTTCAGCTACCATACAATCGCCGTAAGTAAAAGCTTTCTCCAGCGAAAATTGCTACGGTCTTTAGAGGGTTTACAAACTTCGTCGTTACGGCTTACCAAACCCTATTTATAGAAGACGTTTCATAATGAAAAAACTCAATGAGAGGTGAAAAAACCTTAACACTCCATCGTACTGTACTTGATGGGCCGTGCGAGGTTTGATTGAAACGCCGGTAGGTGTGACAGCCCTTTGCGGAAGACGCCATTATCGGATTGGCGAGCGATCCCGACGGCTACTTCGGCTACTTATAGTTTTTGGTAACTAAATGAGGTTTTGAAGTCAGTAAATGGTCAAATGTGATAGAAATAAGTTCAATAAGGTTATTTGTAGTAAAAATGGCGTAGACGATTCCATAATATCTTGCATTTTGAAGGAGAAAAGCGAACATTCGGGAGAAGGCAATATATAAGACTTTTAGCGATCAATCGGAAATCATCTTTATTTGACCGCCGATTGCGGTGTTATGATGTTTGAATAAACCCAGTGATGTAGAGTGGTGTGCAAAAACGTTCGCGACAGCCGGGATTTGAACCCAGACTTTAATATTTCCGGGAGTATGTGCTTAATCGTTGCACCACCGACGCTCGTTTTGCACTCCACTCTTTCTACTCTACAACGCGGAAAGAGTAGTAAGTGGGTTCAAATCCCGGCTGACGCAAACGTTTTTGCTCAGCATTCTAGTTCGTTGACTTTAGTGATCAATTCTAGATATTCTGTTCACACTGTCAGTTGACCGCCAAAGCATTAACAAGACAAGAAAAATGTCCATCAACACTTGGAAATATTGTTCTTTCGGCAAGGATGTGGCTTTTCTTTTGAAAAAAATGCAACCTTTTAGGAAACATCAGGGTTAATTATTAGGGTTAATTCATTGAAATTATTCGCACAGGAGTCTCCTCAGTGGTCATCCATCATTTGATGAGGATAATATTTTTCTAGAAACTCAACTCACCCGATTTTGTATTGGTGCCATGCACCAAGTTCCGTGGCCGACCGAATCGGGCGACTAGCTGAGGGTCAAAATGATCCTCATCCATCGCCCTCACGGGTAAATTTTGAAAAATTCGTATAAGGCACTTTCGCGCGCTTCAACGAAAAACTGCGCGTCGACTTCAAAGTCGTGTTATTGCGTGTCGATACGCAACTAGTATCTTCATGTGTGAATTGGGCCCATGGCCAGCCGGGGCTGCATTCCCATTTCTGTCGCCAGGATCTCCTCCTTCTCTTTTCCTTTCGTTCCTCTTCCTTCCTTCCTTCTTCTTCTTCTTTCTTCTTCTGTCTTTTTTCATCATCCTTTTTCCTCATCTTGCATTCCTCTCTTTCATCCTTTTCATTTCTCCGTGCCTTGAAGTTTTACTTTGAAGTGTTGTATGTTGGTGTGTACAATCACCAGGCAATGTTACCTTCGTAGAAAGTAGCTGCAGAGAATCGTTACTTTAGATGATTCTATGTTGAGTGGGCGAATAGGTCGTAGCTCTCTGATTTCACCTTGTTCATCGTGCTATTCATCAACCCTTTGCGAACGATGAATGTCTTAACGAATCGCAACTTTTCAGAGGACTTTTTTCGCTGAACAGCGTATTTTTACTAAAATTCTAGAGGCCAATCGAAAATTGGAAAATTGGCGATTTCAGCAGTGTACCTGTCTTTCAAGCGCATGTGGCGCAGTGGTTAGAGGTGCTTTGCGTCGCACAAGAGGTCAATTGTTCGATCTCACGCTCGTGACTCACCAAGCCATCTATCCTTGCGGGGTCAGTAGATGGTACCAGGCAGGTCCCAGACTTGTCTGGGAGGATAAACAGCACAGACTCGGTTCAGCGGGAGGCCACCGCGAGTCATTGTAAAGGCCAGATATGCATTCAATCACTTCAAACGAAGTTAGAACTTGAAGTCGAATGCATGGCGTATCCCTCAGGGGCTGATCAACACCGAGAGCTTTATCCTTTATCCTTTTTTACCTGTCGTATGAAAAGGCCCATTTTATTGCGCTATAGCAAGAATGTTATAATTATGTTTTGCATTTAGAGTGCTCTCTTTGTATGTTTAGCGTCTGTGGGTGGATTTTCATCAAACTACTAATTCTCATTCGATGTCACGAGTTTCGGCGATTTTGGAACTCTACTTAGTTTTTGAAAAGGTTTTCCTAGCGAGCTGTAGGAGCGAAAAAACGACTACGTTTCGCAATCGGAGTTTTCTTCGCACAGAAGAGATATATTTTCACAACAGTATATGAACATGCAGAGGGATTTATGTAGTACTAGAATATTGCGAAAACTCTAGGGTTTCTCTTTTGAAAGGAATAGAAAAGTCCTCATCATGCCTGATAATCATTTTTTGATCCACGCATGTCAGTGGTCTATCAAGGAGGGCTAACTTATAAAGCCCGATACACATGTTCCGATCCTGCGATCTCGTCACTCGGGCAGTTAACCTTTCTATTCTTTTGTCAATTCTGTGTAGGACTGGAGCACCCACACGGGATTGGCAAAAGACAAGAAAGGGTAACTGCCCGACTGACAAGATCGCAAGATCGAGACATGTGGATCGGGCTCTATAAGTTAGCCCTCCTTGATAGACCACTGACGTGCGTGGCTCAAATTAATTACCAGGCATATTAAAATTTGAGCTATGGTCTCAAGAAAACACTCGAAACGAAAGATAGAACCCCATCAACTAATGGAAATTGCGCGCCGCGTGTTCGATCGATCAAGTGCCGCCAGCGAAAGGTTAGAGTGTTCTTTGTACTGGTTTTATCTCATGGTTGTACTCTAACATGTACTGATATCCTCCGTCATGGATTTGTCACTTACATTATGCTCCATATCTCAGATTGTCATGTTATAACAGTTTTGAGTAGTTTCGTTGCTTAGTAATACTGAAGGAGATATATTTGTTCTCAGTTTTAGTTGATCATCGAGGATTCTTGCTAAGGAATATGGCCGATGCAGGAGGGTTTGTGCTTTGATTGTAAACCTTTTTTTTTTAATATGTCTTATGAGACTTGATGTTTTTTTCATTGCAGAGATGAAGTGAAGATACCATCGGCAGCACCGGCTGTCATGGACGTACAGGGAGCATTGAAGGCTGTTTTACGATCTGCTAATTTCGCTGATGGACTGGCGAAAGGTCTCCATGAGGCTGCCAAAGCCCTTGACAAGTGCGTACTTTCATGGTATAGTTTTCATGCACACATAAACGGAGTATATGATTTCTGATTGGTCTGTTCTCCACCTGTCGTGTGCTACAAAGTAGGCCGACTTGCCACATTCGCTTTTGCTCGTTTACATTGTCGAATGCCAAAGAAAGCCAACAAGATCTCTTGTCAAAACAGATTTTCTCAGTAATGTTGTGGTTCTTTGTATTTAGCTGATTGTTTAGGCGCGAGGCACATTTTTGTGTTCTAGCTGAGAACTGCGATGAACCGATGTATGTGAAGCTGGTTGAGGCTCTTTGCAACGAACACAATATCCCTCTCATCAAGGTATCTGACAAGAAAATCATAGGAGAATGGTGTGGTCTATGCAAATACGACAAGGAAGGCAAAGCACGTAAAGTTGTCGGATGTTCTTGTGCCGTCGTTAAGGACTATGGCAACGAAGAACAAGGAAAGCAGGTTTTGCAGCAGTACTTTGACTCTAAGAAGTAATTGTTATTTGTTGGAATAAATTGTTTTGTTGTGGTTTTCAGCTGTTGGTGTTTGGGTGAAACCGTAACTACGTTTTGAATTTGAGAAAACTTATGCTTCTTAGCTACAACAACTTACGATACGATTCATGTCTATCCGAAGTTTACTTTTTTTGGCCTCAGAAAACTTGGGATCTTTAACTTTAGATATATTTGTTTTATTTGTAGAAAATTCAGCTAGCGATATGAAGCGTTTTCCTAGGTATGACATTGGAACATGTTCAGTGGTTCTGGCATGCAATCAATGTAATACACCCGTAGAAGCGGCTTAGAGTTGTTTTTACTTCAGCAAGTTTCTGAAAATATGAGGTCTTCGACTGATAATTACGAAAAGGGGCATCTTTTCCACTCTCAGCTATCGTAAATGAATCAGGGGCAAGGTGCCGTAGGGATTATTGATGCGATGTAGCCGGAAATGGAGTGATAATTAACGCTCTGGTTCAATCCCATACTCCAGCACTTTTTTGCAATCAGTCAACGAACGTCGTAGCTCGGCCCCTTTTTAATTCATAAAAAGAGCCGTCTTAACTAGTGTTCTACGACATCCATAAAAGCGATAGAATTCTCATTTATCAGTCAAGGTAACACGTGAAACATTCGAAGACCTTTGTGATCATTCAGTACGAAGAAACGGATTGAAAGAAAGAAGTTCTGGGGAAGAGGCGCACATCAAATTGTGATCACGGGTCGTAGGAATTGATGACCAGAATAAACAGCGTCAATGGGTCCATTTTGTGTAATGGTTTTCAGTACAATATAGCGCTATAAAGCGTTATTAATAAAAATCGGTATGACTCCATCGAGAAGCACTAAGTATGTCTTCACGTCATCAATTTGAAGGCAATTACACACGAGATAAGTTAGTATTGGTCAAATGAATCAGCTGTATGTCACTATACGCCCATTGAAGGAGTGATTTCGGATTACATATTTGCCCTCATAGTCGTATCAGTGAGTTTTTCTACGACATGAGATAAATTATAGCCTAGACGGGTTTCTATCATAAGATTTTATCGACGATTTTTAGCATTGTGGTGCCCCCGCCCTTGTGAAGGTCGCTCGGAGTCGAGTCCATTGTCACGCATCCCAAGCTATATATGCCGATTTTTTGGGACGTTTCGCGGTTGCTCCGTTATCATTTCGATTCTCATTTAATGGGTCTCTGGACTCATACCTTTCTTTCTTCTTCAACTATACTGCGCGTTTTAGCCCAGTCACCTACCTGTATCACCTGTCGTCCCGCTGATTGTCTAGTGACTCGAGCGGCCACCGGCAACACTTCCACTTTTCCCTATCGCGTGCAAGAGTAGCCCAGTGGGTCCTTCTCGCTTTAGGGATTCGTTGAGCATCATGTCTTTCTTCTATAGCTTGCGTGAAGAAGTCGGACCACAGTGTCGGTGGTCTTCGTGTAGAGCGCTTGAAGTCCCGAGGAATCCAGTCAGTAACGGCTCTCGTCCATCGGTTGTCGTTGAAGCGCAACACGTGTGCGGCCCACCTTATTTTCTATATCTTGGCGTGTAGAACGTGTCTTTGATCTTCGATCGCTGACCTAGGTCAGAACTTTGGATCCTTTCTCTCATTTGCGATATACGAGATACTCCCAGCACCGACTTTTCGACTGTGTGGTCAATAAAGCCAAGTGATCTTTCATCTTCCTTACGTAGTGACCAGGTGACTGCTGTATACTTAGGGCAGAGATGATTCATTCTAATAGCAACCAACCACTAATCTTGAACTTCAAGTGTGTGAATAGTGTGAAAATGTTTCAAGCCTTTTCGAAGTTGATACGTCATTGACTTGCTTACTGTACGTTTCGGCAGTGTCGTCCGCCTCTATAGAGTCACATACACGTCCTACTGGTGAACCCTACTTTATAGCAGGGTTGGGGCGACGTGCTTTT